GGGTGGCTGAGAGGCAGGGCGACAGCTCTAGAGTTAGGGAGCAGGGGCCAGGGGCCTGGGTGGGCTGTGTGCCTACCTGGCCTGTGTGTTTACTCGGGGAGCCTTTGGGGTCCCCAGGGGTGGTAGGGACACGGGGATACCCCTCAGGGTGCAGTGGGCATGTGGTGCTGGAGGGGATATGGGGTTCCCCGGGACCCTTCTGCCACCCAGATGGCTGCCTTACCATGTCCCCCTGACTCAGTGACCCCTGTCCCATCCCTGGAGCAGCAGGCAGGACCATCAGAAGCGGAGGGCAGGTGAGCCGAGGAGCTGCACTTGGGGAGCAGGTGGGAGCTGAGAGACGGTAGCTGGGACAGGACCTGCCCCAACCCCTCATCAGCTCTGGCTGGGCTGGTTACCCTCTCACCTTCCCTGGGAAAGGCACCTTGCTGGCTGCCAGGCCAGCTCTCCAGCCTCCTGCCTGGACTGCTGCAGTACCCCTAATTGATCTCGTTTCTCCCCTCCAAGCCATCTGCGTGCGGCCACCACTGCAGCCAGATTAATCTTCTTAATACACCGCCCCCCCAGCCTCAATGGCAGTGCTGTGGGCAGAGGCAGATCCAGCCTGAATCAGTATCAAGGCTGGCCCGCCGGGCCTGTCTACCCTGCAGCCTTCTCCTGTGCAGCCCTTTTTACCCTCTGGTCAGGCAGGCATGTGGCTCTTGGTCCTGGGGATGCCCTGCACATTCCTTCCTCTGCGCCTCCTGTCTTGGCCTCCTCCACCCCTTCCCCATGCCCTCAGCAAGATCTGAGCTCCCGGGCAATCCTGGCTCGACAGTGCTCTGTGCTGCCACACTATGAGGGCCACCTGCACTTGGTCCAGGGCTGGCAGCTTTTGCAGGTGTTAGTGCCTCTGTTCTGCAGAACAGCAGCATCTCAAGGTGGTGTCCCCCTGTGTAACACACGAGGCCCCTGGGGGTCTGAGACACTGAGAGACTTGCCCAAGGTCACACAAGTAGAAAGTCCCAGGGTCTGGAGGCCTCTTGCCTTCAAATCCTGTCCCACGTTGGCATCACAGCTGTTCTGCAAGCAGAGGGCACTTTAAAGGGTAGTTGAAGGCGATGCTGTGGGTTCCAGGGAATCCTGGAGCTTGGAAGGACCAAGCTGCTTACCTGGGGTCCCAACTGCTGCAAGGTGACAGCTTGGGATGAGATTTAGTGGTGCAGAAGCTCAGGGTGCCAGCCTCCACTCACCCTTCTCCACTGGGCCTCAACATCGTGGACAGCAGTATGGGTGCAGCTGAGACCCTGTATAGGATGCCTGCATCCAGGAGTCAGGGACAGGAGGCTGGAGCTGCCCGATGGGCTTGTGTGTGCTCTCCGGGGGCTTTCTCTGGGCTTTCTCTTTCTGCTGGGATGGCATTTTGGGGAGGGTCTCAAGGGCAGAGATGCTAGGAAAAGTGCAAGAGACCAGCTGTGAGCTTTTCTAGGAAGCCATGTGACCTGTCAGGTTCCACACCTCTGGAGCCTCAGTTTCCCCCCAGGCCATTTAGGAGGCTCAGGTCCTTTCCTCTGTGGTTGTGAGCACAGAGGTAGTGAAATCTCAGGAGAAAGATCCTTGCCTAGGGTGCTTTGAGCCCAGCAGAGCTGTGATGGTGTGAGCAGACACTTGCTCCACTTCTGCCCCTTCCAGGGAGCAGTGGCCGTAATTACGGCCGCAGTTGCTGGGGCCACTGTGTTGCTAAGACTGTGTCTCTGTGTCCTGTCCTGCGTTGGCAAAACATTCCCAGCCTCTGACTTGGTAACTTGGGCAGAACTGGCTGCCTGGGGGAAGGGAGATTTTTTTTTCTCCTTGGATCACTGGTGTGGGGGAATCCTGGGCCCTGAAAGAAGAGGTCCCCAAGTGTGTGTGTGCAGGAGAGATTGGGCGCAGCGCCCAGGGCCCCTTCTGCCTGTCAGGCACCTCTGCTTCTCCAGGTCGGCTGGGCAGGCTGGGGCGAGGGCTTCAGCCTTTGCTGCCCGCCCCCCACAGGGACCAATGGTGCAGACCTCAAGGGGGGCCCTGCTTCGTCTTTCTCAGTGAGCCTCTGGTAGGTGGGCAGGTGAGCAAGGTGTGCATGTGTGCTGAGCAGGGCGCTCTCTCGATGACCTCAGGGTGGGATGAGAACACCCTCTCCACATGTGCAGTCTTTGGCCTTTTGGATTTCACTCACTGAATAACCATGCAGCCAGAGCTACAGTGCCTTCAGCTACATTTTAGAAAGTTTTATTACTTTTTATGTTTGGTAGCCTTTTTGAAGTACAGATTGAGTCTGTCTCCTTCAGAATGCTTGGTACCATGGCTTGAGTTATATAGCTTAGTGGCAGAACATTTGCTTAGCAGGCACAAGGCCTTGGGTTTGATCCCCTGCACTGCAAAAAACAAAAGCAAAAATCAGAATGCTTGGTACTAGAAATGTTTTGGATTTGGGGATATTTACATACACATAAAGGTTATGGTGGAGGGTCGGATCTAGGTCTAAAGACAAAATTCATTTATATTTGTTACTTTCCTGTATATATCTCCTGAAGGTAATTTACAGACTATTTCTAGTACATCTGTATTTTGTGTGTGTGTGTGTGCCAGGGATCGAACTTGGGTCCTTGCGCTTGTGAGGCAGGCGGCCGAACTGCTGAGCTAAATCCCCAGCCCAAGTACAGCTGTATTTTGACCGTGACCCAGCGTGGATCAGATGGAATATTCCACTTGTGGTGTCAGATCGACATTCAAAACAGTTTTGGATTTTGGAGCATTTTGGACTTTGGATTTTCAGATTAGACATGCTCAATTTGTATCATTTATGTGACATAAATCCACCCATTCTAAGCGGGCCTCCGCTGTGTTCATGTCAACCTGTTCTTTGTGGATGCATCTTAGTTGATTTGAAATACAGTTTTACCTACGTTAGAAGATGCGTGATGTACTCAGGCCATCCATTTGTCTGGATTCACATGTCCTTTGCGGTGACTGTGCCTTGGGTCTGAGTCCTGACAGTCTAATCATGTTATTGGGGTCATCCGGTGAAGTGGGGTGTGGGCCTGTCCTGGGCTTCCCTGCCCAGTCACCCGCCATCTCACCTGTAACACGAGGAGGGCTGTTATGTGGGTGGCACGATGTGAAGCATCACTCCTGTGTCCTCCATGCTTGTCATCTTTGTCCAGTCCAAGGTGAAGCCCGGGCAGGTAGAAGGTAACCAGGAAGTGGGAGCCCTGGCCATTGCTGGGCATACCGGACTTGGGGGTACAGAATGTGGGCTCCACTTTTCCAGGAAGGGCCTGAGCTCTGGGCTTCATCTACACCGACAGTGGCCACTTCCCCACCACCGGCTCCACACGCATGCTGGAGGATAAAGGTCCTGCCTCGGTGGGACTCCATTAAGTAGGTCAGGTGGCAGTGGCCCCTCCTGCCTCTGGTCACAGTCTGTGGAGCAAAGATTAGCTCAAGATCTGTCAGAACACTGGGCTCTGGACCCCAGCAACTCCCTGATACACTCACCTTCTGGCCATCTGCTGCCCCTGCTGCCCCTGGCTCTACCCCTACCTTGGGAAAGAACCCCACGCATGGCCTGCGAGTCCGTCTCCTCCCATGGAATGACCCTCATCTGCTAGTGAGAACCCCCTTCCATTCTGCTCTGCTCACCTCCCTCCCAGGCTGGCCACACCGATGGGGCCATTAGGATGCATTTGGCCACACCTAGGACCTGGCACCATGCTTGGGCAGCCAAGCAAGGCATCTGGGTAAGCAGGAGGAGGTGTTGGATGGAACCAGGTCCTCACTTGGCTATTTCTGTAACTCGGACTTCTTAGCAGCTACTCTGGACTTTGGGCTTTGGTCTATCCGTCTTCGTCAGTGGGCTCCACTGGACCTGTATCCCAGTCCTCAGCCACACCCCCTCTTCCCCCAGCCAAAACCGGGCTCCTGCTGCCCATCTATTTTTCTCACCCACTGGGGAGACCCACTCACACTTTAGGGTTCAAGTGCTGCCTTCTGGCTAAGCCTTTGCTGGTATGTTTACCCCTACTTGCCTTCTCTCCCCTGAATTCCTGGGTTTACTTCTTGGATCATTTATTTTGGCACCGAGGTAGGGTCTAAGTCCCCTTGTGGTTATTCAGCTGTTGAGAGTAGGTACGACTTGTTTCTAGCTAGACATGAGCTCCAGGGATGCAGGCATGTGGCTGCCACATTTTCATGGCTCCTCTAATGTCTAGCATGTTACACATCCAGGGGGCAATTCCTGCTGAAAAGGAGGGGACCAGTGAGCTGAATAGCAGATGAGATGGGGTTTGTCATTTGTTCTTCTGAGGCTCTCTCTGGGATGTGTCCTTGGTCCCAATCCCAGACCCCGGGTAGGTGCATCAAAGGAATTACCTCCCATGTTTTACAGAGAGGGTGGGAATCTTGCTGAAGGACACAGAGTGAGTGGCAGGAGAGTCTGAGACTTATCCCAGGCATTCTGGGCTCAGGCTGAGGCTGCAGGTGGCTCCTCCTCCTGGGGTCTCCTTCTGCCTATACACGTGTGTGTGCGAGGCCGGTGTGTGTTCCTGTTTGCCTGTGTGTGTCTAGGAAGCAAGCAGAGCTGATATCCATCCAGCGCAAGCCTGCCAGGTCCAGGGAGTAGTGTGGAGCTGTGTGGTTGTGTGGGGGGCCACGTAACTGGGAGTGCATGGGAAGCCTTGGCCATGGCCCTCTGATGTCGGCCAGCAACATGGGCCTGCTGGCCCCTGCCACCTTGCTGGCAGGACAGGACGCGCTACTCATCAGGAGTAGAGAAGAAACCACACATAGGCCTTCAGTGAGCCTGTGGCCCCAGGACCTACACCAGCCATGGGGAATGGCTGGAGGGGGCTGCCCTGAGTGCATGATCCACTCCCCATGGTGGTCGCTGTTCTTGTTCCTCCTCTCCCTGGGGCCCACAATTAGAGGGGAACTGGGATGCAGGGCTCAGGGAGGAGCCTGCTGCTTCACGCCCCCCTGCCCTCCAGCCCGAGGAGCTCACCAACGCCCTGGAAATCAGCAACATCGTCTTCACCAGCCTCTTTGCCCTGGAGATGCTGCTGAAGCTGCTTGTGTATGGCCCCTTCGGTTACATCAAGAATCCCTACAACATCTTCGATGGTGTCATCGTTGTCATCAGGTATGGTGGCCCCCACGGACAGCTCTTGCTGGAAGAGGGGCCATGCAGCCTGGTCCCTCGGGGTGGAAGAGCCTGGGGTCAGGCCCCACGGACCCACAGGCCACCTCTCCCGAGGTGAGGGCCTCTCTGGAGCCCCCACGCTCCAGCCCTTCCTCCCCTCAGCACTGCTGGCTCTTGTGGGACTGGGACCCATAGATCCTCTGGCCAGGCCACTCTCCTCTCCCCACCTCCACCTCTTGTTCTCAACCCTGCCCAGTGGGTGAGAATTGGGGGCTCGGGTTTGGAGAGGAGTTGGAGGAAGAGGGAGGCCTGGCCAGCTCTCCTCACTTACGAAGGGCTTGGAAGCCAACACAGATGCTAGCAACTTGCTTTGGGCTTTACAAGACCTTGAGAAAGTATTGCAGACCCCCAGGCCAGGGGCCAGGAGAAATGCTTTATTACTTTTTGGAATTAGCTTTAGATTTCATTAGAAGAGAACAAAGCAAATATTCCATACCTCAATGCAGTTGCATTGGCCAGATTTAGAGAGAGGGCTGCCCACTGCCAGGGACTGTTCTGTCCCAAAGGGCAAGGGCAGGGCCTGGGCTGCCCCCTGGAACCCTACCACCTCGGGGAACCCAGGGCCCATCCACTGTCCTTCTCTTGAGCCAGGTTGGCTGGTCCTAGTCCTCAGGTGCTGGGTACTCCAAAGGGGAGGGCAGAGGGTGGAGGGCTCAGGCTGCCTGCCCCCCACAGCGTGTGGGAGATCGTGGGCCAGCAAGGGGGTGGCCTGTCAGTGCTGCGGACCTTCCGCCTGATGCGGGTGCTGAAGCTGGTGCGCTTCCTGCCGGCGCTGCAGCGGCAGCTCGTGGTGCTCATGAAGACCATGGACAATGTGGCCACCTTCTGCATGCTGCTCATGCTCTTCATCTTCATCTTCAGGTGGGCAGGGAGTAGCCTTGGGTGCTGGTCGGGAAGGCCGGGCGCGGGGCATGCCCAGATCTGACCCTGTCCCCTGCTCCCTGTGTCTTCAGCATCCTGGGTATGCATCTGTTTGGCTGCAAATTTGCCTCTGAGCGGGATGGGGACACACTGCCAGACCGGAAGAATTTTGACTCCCTGCTCTGGGCCATTGTCACCGTCTTTCAGGTTCGAGGATTGCAGGGCAAGGGGTGAGCAGGAGCCATCGGATGCTCCTTTCAGGCCCTGACTCATGTCTCCTGCCCTCAGATCCTGACCCAGGAGGACTGGAACAAAGTCCTCTACAACGGCATGGCCTCCACCTCGTCCTGGGCTGCCCTTTACTTCATCGCCCTCATGACCTTTGGCAACTATGTGCTCTTTAATCTGCTTGTCGCCATTCTGGTGGAGGGCTTCCAAGCAGAGGTAACCCCGGTGCTTTCTGACCTCCAGGAGGGGTAGGCTCCTTCCTCCCTCCCTCTGCTGCCTCCTGTGGGGGTCTGGGAGGTTCCCCGGGTAGCATCCCTGGGTCTGAGTCCTTATCACGTGGCTGACAGGATGATTGGGTGGGGTCCCTGGGTTACAGATTGGTGGCTGGTGGGCTTCTCTCTCCATCGACTAAACCCTTCCCCAGAAAGCCAGACAAACCAAGCGTCAGGCCCACCAGGCAGTGGGATGCTGAGTGTAAGTGTCCTATGGGACAACAGGAGGACCCTCTGGGCAGGGGCTGTGGGAGACTCGTGTGCAAGTCATGCAAGTGCAGGCTGAGCTGATGAAGATGCTGCCAGGACCCAGGCAGGGCTGAGCTGCCCAGGGTGAGAAATGAGCCCAATTAGCTGCAGGCATGGCAGAGACAGGCGTCCTATTTCCAGCCCAGGCTCCATCACCTCCGTCACAAGCAGCGTCATCAATTAATATTGACTCACATTGATCCTGCCCCGCCATGCCAGGGCCCAGCCTCCACTCCAAAAGCCGCACCTCTTCCTCTCCCCCAACTCTGCCTTCCTTCCCGCCTGAGCCCCCAGACCCACGCCAGCGTCCCAGTACCTCAAACAGGATGTGCTGACCCAACCTAGAAATGCTCCAGGTCAGGCCTGGAGAAGCTCGGTCCAGTTCTCTCTGGGTGACCCGGATGGAAACTCCCGCTGCGGCCTGGTCTATAAATACTGGGCACATGGTGGAAAAACAAAAATCTATTTTCCGGCTCCTTCTCGGCCTTACGAGGGAGGGCCATCCCTGTGGGCCAGGCTGGGCTGGTGGGGTGCGGTGCATCAGTCCCACACCAGCCTTTCTCCCCGCTTCCGTTTTAATTCTCTAGTTATCCATTATCAAATTTCCTCTCTGCTGGGTGGCAGTGAGGGCATCTGGGGTTGGGGAGGCTTTGGTGATTGCCAGGCCTCTTGCGGGGAAGGAGGGCCGTCCAGCTTTCCCCGGAACAGGACACTTCTTTGGGGTTTCCCTGGGGCTGCAGAGTTGAAAGCTGTCACAGGGCTCCCTCAACAGCTGGGGTCTCCATGGCCTCTTGCAGGGCCCTGCTAGTTGCCTGCAGAAAGAGGAGCCAGGTGGGGGTGGGTCCCTTTAGCCCCCCTCCAAATAGTAGCTCCTAAAAGCTAAGCTCCCCTCCAAAAAATTCCTCCTGGGCCTCTGTAGGGGACACGGAAACCACCCTGGGCCTGTTTCTCTCCCTTGCTGTTGCCCATCCACCACGGTAGTCCAGGGGATTCCCGGCACAGACGGGCCCCTCCTCACCACTTGGGCTTTCAAAAACACCTTGTTAAATTGAGTGCAGCTGGTTGCTAGGCAGCAGTGACATCTGAGTGTGGGAACGGAGCTGCCTGGTCAGGTCACCCAGGCCCCACTGGGAGCCTGCAAGCTGTCCCAGTGTGGAGGGTGGACCAGGGCTCTGGGGCCACACCCTCCTCCACCTTGGGAGCAGAGGTGCCCTTTTGGGTGTCTCTCAGGACCTGGTGCCTTGGGCTGGATGTTCATTGCTATGGAATGGAGAAGCCTTTGGAGATCAAGCCTTCTGTGGGGGTGGGCAGCTACGGTAGCCCCAAATGCCCATGTCGGGGGCTGGACCTGTGCTCCATTGTTCTGCATGTGGTGGCATGGATGGGACAGGGTCATTCGATCTCCATGACCTGGACACTTCCAGAACCACCTGCCTGTCCTTTCTGGGGTTCTAGGAGGCCCTGTGGTCTGGCAGGGGAGCCTGGCTTTGCTGTGGTGATGGCCTGGAATTTTGTTTTGTTTTGTTTTCACTGATAAGACAATCCACCTTGGTGGAGGGGGTGGTTGTTCCCACCTTGGTGGACTCTGCCAGCAGGAAACCTCAAGGGTAGCCCCCTGCTGGCCCTGCCACCACGCCAAGAGGGGCAGGGGGTGGTCCCTGGAGACAGATCCCGCCTGGCTGTTGATTTCCTGACTCACAGGGGGCAGTGCCCTGGATTCCTGTATATTTATCATCCACACACTTAATTAAATGAACAGGCGGCGAGCCCTGTGTGTGGCCATTAATTGATACCAAACAACATCACAGCCATCGTGGCAGGGTTCCTGTCACATCCCATTCCACACCGAGTGGCTGGATCCGTTCTGACTTGAAGGCACTTGGGCTGAGAGAGTGAGAAATTATGAGGCCTGATTTCGCTCCTTGTCGAGACCTCATCTTGGCTTTTGTCTGCTCCTCCTTCCGGTCCTCCCTGCTGTTCCCACAACCCCTGCCTCAGAGCCAGGGAGAGGGCAGCTGTATCCTGAGCCGGGGATGCAGGTTCAAGGCCCATCTCCACCCCTTACTACGCACAATTCAGGCAGTTTTGCTAACTTCTCCGGACCTCAGGTGCCTCTTCCTAAGATGGTCCCAGCGGCCCCACCTCCTACGCACGCTGGTGTGACCACAACAGTTGCACGCTGCCCGCACACCCTCCATGCATGTTAGCTGTTGTTATTAAGAACAGTGGGGGCTTGATCCTTCCTTGCCTGGGTCCCCACTTCAGATACATTCTGGTCTGGCGGCCTGGAGTTGAATTCCGGAAGGCTGTCTTGTCCCACTTCCTGCCCACCCTGCGTCTCTCATTTCTCCCCTGTGGGGTGTGTACCCCTCTTCTCTCCTTGCTCTTTGGACACTGCTGATATTCAGAGGCCTGAGCGCTTGTGACCAGCGGCCCTCCCCGCCTCCCCCTCTCCCTGTAGGAAATCAGCAAACGGGAAGATGCGAGTGGACAGTTAAGCTGTATTCAGCTGCCTGTCGACTCCCAGGGGGTAGGTACGCACTCTTGAGTTGCATGCCCCCCGCACCCATGTCCCCTACTCCTCCGCCTCCGTGTCTCTGTGCTCGCGTTTGTGCTCAGCTGCTGTGCAACCTGTGATAGCCATGGTGGCCATTGGTGTCTTGGGGTTTGCTTCAATTTTAAGTCCCTTCCCTGGTGAGGACATGGAAGGGAGGAGCCTCCTGGCCTTGGGCCCCATCAACCCACAAAGGGCACCTTCCCGTCCCTGCCAGGCCAGAGAAGGAAGGGACTTAGACTCCTCTGTGTGTGCACTGGAGGGTTGTGCGCACCTACTCTGGAGTCCCAGAGAGCCCCAGATGTCCAGGCTCAGTGGGGTCAAGACTGCAGCCATGGACAACACTACCCCATCCTCTCTCTTTCACCCCTCACTCTGGGCCCCCATTGGAGACCCCACAGACTGCCTCAGCTCAGGACAATTCCCTGGAGGAGGTGGGGATCAAGTGGGCCAGAATTGTAATCCACTCCCGAATCTCTGGAGTCGCCCCAGGTCGTTCAAGCATCCCCTCCTCAGCCCCTACACTAAGCCTGTGTCCTGCTCTTCCCTGCTCCGGCACTGGAATTGAGGGCAATGCCAGGATCCCCATGGGACCCCATGGTGCCACGCATCCCAAGCAGCCCCCTGGAGATCCCACTTGATAATTAAAGGCCTCGTTAGGGATGTAAACTGAGTTAATAAAAATGATCCCCTGAGATGCCAATTACCCAATATTTATGTCCTTATCAAAAGTAGCAATCAAGTATTTTTTAATAACTTCTTAAGGAGAAGTGTGTAATTACTGGGGAACCTACTGACCTGCTAAGAAGGAAGAAAAAACTATCCTAGAGACAAGGAGAGAAGTCAAAACGGGGCCAGAGAAGGTGGGGGTAGAAGCAGAGGGTCTCAAGTGGCATCCGTGGCTGAGCTGCAGTGGCCGGGGTCTTCCAGTTTCCTTTTGGGATCTTTGAGTCCGAGGCTCTTGGGACGAGTGGGACAGAAGGAAGGCAGGGGCCTCCTGTGGACTTTTGGAATTGAAGTTTTCATGACCACTTCACCCAGGACCCAGCTCCTCTGCCTGTGCCACCTGCCTGCCCACTCAGCCCTTCTCCCCGAAGCCAGCTGTGGTGCCGTTCTAGCCAGGCTGGCTGTGCTGTGCGGTGGCATCGGGTGAGGTGTGGCCTGTTCTGAAGTGTGACACCGGGGCCCTGGGCCTGGGTGGTGTGGCCCGCACCGGTGCATGCCTCGTGCCGTGGTTGCTGATCCCGTGGCCTCTATGTGGTGTGTGCGTGTGAGGACAGGGAGTCCTCAGTCCATCTCAGTGGCCCCTGTCTGGCCAAGAGCCTGACGGCCTGCTGCTTCCCAACCCTAGGGAGATGCCACCAAGTCTGAGTCCGAACCCGATTTCTTCTCACCCAGCGTGGATGGTGACGGGGATGGGAAGAAGCGCTTGGCCCGTGAGTACCTATCCTGGGGGCCCGGTCCTGGCCCTCGGCCAGCCCTGAGTGGACTCAGGCTCTCATCCTCTCATCCCTGTGCAGTGGTGTCCCTGGGCCAGCACCCGGAGCTGCATAAGAGCTTGTTGCCGCCGCTCATCATCCACACGGCCGCCACCCCCATGTCGCTGCCCAAGAGCTCCAGCACGGGCCTGGGCGAGGCGCTGGGCTCCGGGTCCTGCCGCACCAGCAGCAGCGGGTCCGCCGAGCCTGGGGCCGCCCACGAGATGAAGTCACCGGTAGGGGGTGCTTGTGGGTGCCCACGGTGGCAGACACTGGGAGGACAGGAGGAAGAGGGACGGCTGTCCAAGGGCACAGCCCCAGGCCAGGGGCTGGACAGGGCCTGGTGTCAGGGCTGGCTGTGCTGGTGAGCGAAGGGCCCCAGCCGTGGAGGAGAAAGAGCAGGGCGCTGATCCTGTCTCTGCTGTCCCCTCGCTGTGTGACCGTGAGCAAGGCTCAACCTCTTAACCTCTCAGAGCCTCTTCTGTGAAATGGGGCCAGGTGCCCCTCTTTCCTTCATGCCTAACAGCCCTCATCTAGTCCCTGATTTTTGGCAGACATTGCTTGTGAGTGCTCTGGATGCATCTAACTCTCACTGCACTGTGGGGTGAGGGCCATCCTCAGCCCCATTTTGCAGATGGCTGAGGCCAGTGACAGAGCCAGCCTGTTAGTCCAGGGGGCTGGTGTCACAGCCCACGCCCTCACGTTTTGTGCATTTTTAAAAAATGTTTAAGAGTGCGTTTTTAATTGACAAATAATTCCATCTAATTATGGGATAAAATGTGGTGCTTTGATATATGTATACATTATGGCATGATTAAATCAAGCTAACTAACATATGCATCACCTCATCATTTTCTCATCATCATGGTAGCAGTAAATCTCAGAAATGTGTTCTTCCTGTCTTGCTGAAACTTGGTGCCCTTTGACCAGCGTCTCCCCATTTTCATCCCCTCGGCCCCTGCAAATCACCCTTCTTCTCTTTGCTTCCCTAAGTGTTGCAGATTCCACATGCAAGTGAGGTCCTGCAATATCTGCCACTGCATGGCTTATTTCACTCAGCATAATAATAATCCTCCAGGTCTACCCATCTTAATGCAGATGACAGGATCTCCTTTTTAAAGGCTGAATAGTCTTCCATTATTTGCACCTTGTGTACACACCATATTCCATACCTTGTATTGTGAATAGTATGGCAATGAACATGGATGTTCTTATATATATTATAACTATTATAAATATATTTTATATGTACAAATGTATATTATATGATATATACATATATAATATATATTTTGTATATACATACATATATCCAGTTGTGGGATTGCTGTATCATATAATTGTTCCATTTTTAGTTTTTTGAGGGACCCCCGTACTATTTTCCATAATGGCTGCACTAATTTACACGGCCACCAAAGTGTACAGGGTTCCGTTTTCTCCGCATCCTTTTTGATAACAGCCATCCTGACAGGTGTGAAGTGACCTCTTATTGTGGTTTTAATTTTTATTTCCCAGATGATCAGTGATGTCAAACTTTTTTCTATATATGCCTGTTGGCCATTTCTGTCTTTTGAGCAATATCTGTTCAGCTCCTTTGCTCAATTGGATTGTTTTCTTGCTATTGAGTTGAGTTTCTTCTTGCTGTTATTTTATGCTGCCTCTCAGCGATGATACTTCTCTCACCAACTAAATGAAGGGCAAGTGCTACTGTATGTCTACTTTACACACAAGGAAACAGAGGTGCGGAGAGGTGTAATAACTTCCCTTGAGTCACAGCCGAATGGAGTGAGAGCCAGGATCTGAACCCAGGCCAGAGGCTCCTGCTCACACCTCTGCACTCAGCCACATGCCAGGGAGGCCACAGGACAGGGGTACACTGAGGGGTGCAGGGCCGTGCATCCCTGCTGAGGTCCCGCCTCCTCTGCTCACTCCGCAGCCCAGCACCCGCAGCTCCCCACACAGCCCCTGGAGTGCAGCCAGCAGCTGGACCAGCAGGCGCTCGAGCCGCAACAGCCTGAGCCGAGCCCCGAGCCTGAAGCGCCGCAGCCCCAGCGGGGAGCGGAGGTCTCTGCTTTCTGGTGAGGGCCGGGAAAGCCAGGACGAGGATGAGAGCTCGGAGGAGGAGCGGGCCAGCCCTGCAGGCAGTGACTGTCGTCCCAGGGGCTCCCTGGAGCGGGAGGCCAAGAGCTCCTTCGACCTGCCAGACACGCTGCAGGTGCCCGGGCTGCACCTCACAGCCAGCGGCCGGAGCTCTGCCTCCGAGCACCAGGACTGCAACGGCAAGTCAGCTTCCGGGCGCCTGGCCCGTGCCCTGCGGCCTGATGACCCCGCACTGGACGGCGATGACGGCGATGACGAGGGCAACCTGGTGAGGCCCGCGTGGGCACAGTGACCCCTGCTGACTGACCTTGAGAAAGGGCAGCTGTGCGCATCTGGCAGAGACAAGGGAGCTAGGGTTCCGAGCCCGGGGGACATCTAAGCAGCTCCTTTCTCCCCCCAGCCCACTGCCCTGCTGAGCCCAGGTCCTTGTCATGCCTGGGGCTATGACACTGCCGTCCTTGGTGGATGCGAACGGTTTCGGGCAGCTGTGTATGAATCTTTCATGGCCCTGCCCCTGTGACTCAGAAAGACCCATCACTCATCTCTCTAAACTGACGTCCCTCCCGTCCCCCTTCTCTTCTGGACCCTGTCACAAGCCTTAACTTCCAGCCTGTCCTCACCTATCCCCCCCAGCCCCTCACCACCCGCTCTGCCCCGGGGATGGGCACGGGGACCTGGGATGCGGGGTTAGCACGTGAGGAGAGGGACCAGCGTCTCCTCTGCCCAGGTGCTCTGCACAGACAGCTGTGATGAGTATGATGTTTAATAACTGATGTGGCTCCCAAGCTCAGCGGGGGACCGGCAGGGGCTGGGCTGGAGCAGGGTGGGAGGAGCAGAGGGCTTGGGCAGGGGGTGCAGGGAAGGAGGGGCAGATGGGATGCTGCTCAGGACGGGGCGCCGCGTGGCTTGGAGCCAGGCGGGTTTGGCACTAAAGGAAGAGAATAAAGGCTCTGCTGTGGGCGGTGCTGGACCAGGCCAGGGTCTGGAAGCCTGGTCCTGCTCATGCCCTAGGGTTTCTTCTGCAGAGCAAAGGGGAACGAATCCGGGCGTGGATCCGCGCCCGGCTGCCCGCCTGCTGCCGTGAGCGAGACTCCTGGTCAGCCTACATCTTCCCTCCCCAGTCAAGGTAGTGGGGAAGGGGCCCTGGCCTGTGCCCCCGCGGTGCTACCCAGGGGTGCTGGAAGCGGGGTGTGAGCTGAGGCCTCGGGCTGGGAGGGCCCTGCAGGGACTGCACTGCAGGTGACGCCTCCCCCCCCACCCGGAGCAGGTTCCGCCTTCTGTGTCACCGGATCATCACCCACAAGATGTTCGACCATGTGGTCCTCGTCATCATCTTCCTCAACTGCATCACCATTGCCATGGAGCGCCCCAAAATCGACCCCCACAGCGCTGTGAGTCACCAGGACTGTAAAAACAGCTGTGGGCTCCTGCTCGATGCTAGGCCCCCTCCTGAGTTAGCACTCAGCTCAGAGCCAGCCAGGGAGGCGAGCAGGCCCGGGTAGCCAGCCTACCCTCAGGTCTCTTGGACTCCAGCCCTTCCTCCTGGCCCCCCAAGATGCCTCCTGTGTCCTTTCCTGCCTTGGTTTACCTTATGTTGACACACCAGCCTCAGTGGGTGCCCTGCTGCACCCCAGGTGTGTTCTCCTGTGGGGCGGGCATGTGTACGAGTCCCGTAGTGTTGGGCCGTGCAGCCTAGACAGGTCCTGCCCACAGCGAGGCCAGGGATGCTACTGGGAGGAGCTCGTCCAGGCCGCCTGGGAGTGCTGCACAGCAGGGCAAGGAAGCTGCTCTTTGCTCCTTGGGGCCCTGCCAGGTCACAAACAAGTAGGTTTTCTGGTGCCATGGAGGGGGACATTGGTCACTTCTGCTTGGCTTTGAACTCAGTCCTTCCCAGAAGGGCACAAGAGGCCGAAAGCCCGAGTCCCGGCCAGTCCTCACCTCTGTGGGAAGGGCCCATCTGGTTCTGGGAGCTGTCTCTTCCCAGCCTGGCGTCTCGGCTCCTCCCACTGGCAGCAATTTGGGCCTAGAAGGGTGAGTGGGAGTGGTCCTGTTTCCCCCCATGGCATTTTGCAGCACTAGCTTGGAGGTGGCCTGAGGTTCCCCCTTCACCCCTCCTCGCTGCCTCCCACATTATTGTTTGGATTTCAGAGCTGCCGGGGCTTCTGTTTTCCATTAGGGTGGGCTCCAGCCAGGCCGGGGTGGGGCTGCAGGGAGCCCCAGGAATGGAGGGGCCGGCCCGGACCTAGGTGGGTGAGTGTGGGCCTGCACTGGGGGCCCCCTGCTGGACCTCGCCAGCTCCCAGGCCCTGTGCCAAGCTCTCTGTCACTGTCCCCACCTTCCTACTCCGCCCCTCGGGCTCCGACCACGCCTGCTTCTCTCCTGCCCTTTCTCCAGCCTGCACACTCACACTCACGTTGCCAGCCACCTCCAGCCACCTCCAGGCCCCTCTTGGCCACCAGGGATGGCCTCAGCTCACAGGCACTGCACCATCCATGCCTGGCACAACGATGGTGCCCCAGGAGGCACTATCATCTGTACCCAGGGCCCCAGTGTGCCTGCCTCGATTTGTTTCTGGGGCACAGGGTAGGAAAACGGAAGGAGGTAGCATGGCAGGGGGGGTCAGAGAGCACATTAAATCCTGCTCCAGCTTCAAGGAGGAGTCAGGGAATTGGGCCTGGGATTTGGGGCTTGGACAACAGCACTGTGGTGCAGAGCGTGTCTCCTCCAGGCCATGTGGTAGGGGAGATTGTGCTCTGGGACAAGGACAAGACTGTCCACGCGGGCTGCACCTTGTGTGTGTGTGACAGGGATGGAGACAGAGTCTGGGGGAACTGTCCATGTTGTCGTGCAGGGTGCAGCTCATCTCTCTGTGTCGAATGCTTGAAGCTGATTTTAGCTTCCATGTGCAAACATGGCCCACGCCAAGGGGTCTTGGTGGGCAGCACCTTCGTCTCTCCTCCAGGAACGCATCTTCCTGACCCTCTCCAACTACATCTTCACCGCAGTCTTTCTGGCTGAAATGACAGTGAAGGTGACGGCAGGCCATCGGCACTGGTTTGGGCCCCCTGCTTCCTGGTGGGCGTGGAGACCGTGGAGCTGGGGGAGGGTGGGAGGGCCAGCTGCAGTGCAGGGAGGGTTGGGGACTGCAGGGAGGGTGGCTGGTGACGGGTGGCTGTGGCCCCCAGGTGGTGGCGCTGGGCTGGTGCTTCGGGGAGCAGGCATACCTTCGAAGCAGCTGGAATGTGCTGGATGGGCTGCTGGTGCTCATCTCCGTCATCGACATCCTGGTGTCCATGGTCTCTGACAGCGGCACCAAGATCCTGGGCATGTTGAGGGTGCTGCGGCTCCTGCGGACCCTGCGCCCGCTCAGGTGACCCCCACTCTGCCCAGCAGCTGCTGCAGTCCCCTCCCCATAAGGTGGCCACCTCGGGGACACCTCCCACAGCCAGCACCCCCAGGACCGCAGATGACACCCGAATCATGGCTGTGGTGATTTCCCTCCAAGACATCTTGTTGACCCTCCTTCTCTCCCAAGTGACACAGCCTCAGGGCCACCTTGTGTGATGATGGATGTGTTGTGACCACAGCCCTGTTTGGGGCACCATAAGAGGCCACCGACAGGGTCCCCGTGGCTTCCCTGGGGGGTCCCCACCCCATGAGGGGCCACACATGATTCTTAGGGGTCCTCCCCGCTCCCAGCCTGACCAGGGAATACATTTGCTGTCCTGGGAATGGGGATCTCTGTAACCTGTCTGGAGGGCTCAGGGCTCAGGGGCTTCATGGCGGGGGTCTCCTGAAGAGAGGACTCTGTTCTGCACAGTGAAGGTTGGGGAGCCGAGAGGAGGACCCCGAAAGGGAAATGGCCAAGGTTGGGCTGGGAGCGGGGCGGGAACCCCTCTCACCCTCCTCGCTGCACTCCCCAGGGTAATCAGCCGGGCCCAGGGGCTGAAGCTAGTGGTGGAGACGCTGATGTCCTCCCTGAAGCCCATCGGCAACATCGTGGTCATCTGTTGTGCCTTCTTCATCATTTTTGGCATCCTGGGGGTGCAGGTGTGTCGGGGTCTGGGGGTCTGTCCTGGAAAGCCTGAGGACTAGGACTCCTCTCCTCTTGGTTCCGAGGTTCAAGCTGCCGCCGCCATCATCCAGAAAGGAATTAGCAGGAGCCCTTCCTCCTAGGTCTTAGGCCTCAGATCTCTTAGCCTCCAGGGAACCCAAAGGGGACTTGGCCTCAGAGAAGCTCCAGGCCCATGGAAGCCGCAGGCTGCTGTCCCTGCCCCCGGCACACTCCCAGCACAGATGCTGGCCTGCGCCCCGACTCCAGGATCTCCTCCCTTCCTTCCCCACGAGCAGGGCGGGCTACATGCCAGGCCTGGGGATCCAGAGCCCAGACAGCTGGGCCAGGTTAGCGGCGTGCTGGCAGGCCGGGCGCAGACCCCAGACAAGGGAGGAAGTGGGGGCTGCTGGGGAATCCTGGCTTCTGGCCCAGGGAGGAAACTTGGCTTTGGAGGAAAAAGAGCCAGAGCTGCCTGCAGGATTCAGCAGACACCTCAGGGGGCCGGGGAGCCCCTCCACCCTGTCTTCATCTTTCAGTGTCCCAGCTCCAGCTTCGGGGCAGACTGCTGACAGTTGGGGTAGCGTGGGAGCTCCCGGTGGCTACCGCTCCCGTCCCCTCCCTTCTTCCTATGGTTCCCAGGATGTCCACTGTGCCCTGGGGAAGGGCTGTCCCAGGGTTTCCTAGAAATTCAGCAGCTCCAGGGACCAGACTGCGTCTGGCAAAGCTGTGTGGAGCCTCTCTGCTGGACCCTCCGCCACACACAGGGCCCTCAGGGAGCCCTCCCCTCCCCACCTCCCAGCCTCCTGGGAGAGCAGCTATTGTTGAGCCTAGTCCTGGGGCTCTTCCAGTGGGCTTAGGTCTGTCCCAAGCAGCTCACTCAGGCCTTTGACCCTCCTTTCCCCCCAGTCACTTCCCACCCCACCCCCCCGCCATCATGGCCTGGTCTATACTGGAATGGGGTGAACTTTCCAGACAGTCTTGGATTCCATCCCCTTTTCGGCCACCTACTGGGCACCTCTGCAGTGAGGTTGACTGACCCCAGACCTAAGTGCCCCCCATCCAGGGTGTGCCCAGACCCTGTGGGTGGGCTGGGGAGTCCTGGTTTTCTGAGATCACAGCTCACTTCTCTCTGTCCCTGGCATATGTGTGCTTCCAGCTCTTCAAAGGGAAGTTCTTTGTGTGCCAGGGCGAGGACACCAGGAACATCACCAACAAGTCGGACTGTGCTGAGGCCAGTTACCGGTGGGTCCGGCACAAGTACAACTTTGACAACCTTGGCCAGGTGAGCCCCAGGCTTGGAGGTGGGGCGGTGGGTGGTGGAAGGAGCCTGGGGCGGGGGGACAAGTCCATCACACTGAATGAGACATACCCACTCGGTTGGAGACATGGGCAAGCATAGAGATCTGCCCCTGGCTGTCTAACCACCAGCTGGTCACCGGGCTCAGTCCATCCTGTGCGCTCCAGCCAGTAAGCCCACAGGGCCTTTACCCCCACCAAAGACCGAGACCTGTGGGCTCCCAGAGCATGAGGACTCACCTAGGGCCACCGTGCCACACGGCAGAGAAGCAAGCACACATCAGAATAGGTGCAGGCAGCCTGAATGTGAATCATTTGTCAAATGAGCACCATCTGTCAGCCCAGTGACCTTGGGCAGCTGGCCTGCCAGGGCCTCGGTTTCACCAGCTGGTGAATGGGGTCATAATAATATCTCCTTGTCCTTAGGGTAAGGGTACAAAGCAAGGGTGTTTGTGTTTGCTTACATGGTTGGCTGCATATTGTCAAGACAGTTTCTTTTCACTCTACATCTGCAGACATAGAAATGTGAAAGGTGAAGTAGCTCACTTAATTTGGCGGTGTCTGGATTCCCAGGGCTCTGGGGTCCCTTTCCCTACCTGGCTGAGGTCAGACATTGTGGTCATCTCTCACGGGTTTGGGTCAGCCATGGAGCCCTGGGACAGAGAGTCTTCCTGGGGACTGGAGTATGACCCCAGCCTGACCTCCCAAGGGCTAGACACCCCAAAGCTGCTACCAGGAGATGCTCTGGTGCCAGGTGGAGGCTGGTCTAGCCACAGATTCTAGATGTCAGGTGGCCTATCACCTTCTCCTGTTTCCTTGGCCCCCTCCCCGCAGGCCCTGATGTCCCTGTTCGTGCTGGCCTCCAAGGACGGCTGGGTGGATATCATGTACGACGGGTTGGATGCTGTGGGCGTGGACCAGCAGGTGAGGCTGAGGTGGGCAGGAGCGGATGTCAAGGGCAGCAGTGCAAGCACTGGCCACAAAGAGTGCCATCAGAGAGGCTCACCGCTCACAGCAGGGCTGTGACTAGTTGCCCTGGGAGCCAGATCTGCCTGTGTTTTATTGGCCTGCAGCACATTTACATTTTTTGGAATTAGTGATGAACACTTAAAAATCGGTGAACTTGACATGGAAATCCAGCTCCTCAGGAAAGTCCTAAGTCCTAGGGGCCCTGGGCTGGTGTCCCCTCCAGGCAGCAGCGTGTGGACGGGTGGAGAATATCAGCTCTCCTTTGCCCATCCCCACCCCTCCCTACTGCCTAACACCAAACCCGCAGGGTCCGTGCCTCACCCAGGCCCTGCACACAGGCAGCGCCCAAGACGGTTCAGCCTCGGGCTGATGCCTCCGCCTACCCTTCCTGCTCCTGCCAGCCCATCATGAACCACAATCCCTGGATGCTGCTCTACTTCATCTCGTTCCTGCTCATTGTGGCCTTCTTCGTCCTGAACATGTTTGTGGGTGTGGTGGTGGAGAACTTCCACAAGTGCCGGCAGCACCAGGAGGAGGAGGAGGCGCGGCGGCGAGAGGAGAAGCGGCTGAAGAGACTGGAGAAAAAGAGAAGGAGTAAGGAGAAGCAGATGGCCGGTCGGTAGTCTTCCAACATCTCTCTGGGTCGCGCTTGACCTTGGCCTGCGACTGCAGGGGGCTGGGGGCTGGGGCGGGGCTGAGGCCGGGGGCGGGGAGAAGCTGCTCCCACCTCCTTCCTCATCTCCTCTGCCCAGCAGCATGTCCGCCTTTGGAGCCCGCACGGAGCAGACCCGGTCAGCCCCAGGGGTGAGGGCACTGCCCCCCCAGTGGGCTCCCCGGGTCTCAGCCTCATGCTCCCCAGGTGAGAGCTGGCGCACGGCCTCTCATCTCGACTCTCAGAGGAGCCTCAGGGCTTGGAAACCTGCTGCCACATTGGCCCGTGCTAGTGTGCAGTGACTCGGGATGGGCACAGGTGCCAGCCCAGGGCTGCCCAGCAAGCGTCTTGACGCTGTGGCTGCCTAGTCCAGTAGCTGTTGAGCAAGATCTGAGCAGGACCGGCAAAAGGGACAGCAGCTCAGCTCTCCCTCCCTAGGTCCAACAAAACTACCCTGACCCTGGGCCCAGGGCCTTTGCTAAAATTTAAAAAGAAAAAGAAAAAGAAAACTCCCCCTGGCTTATGTTGACCCTCAGTCCCTCTCCTGTGGCCCCAGCATCTGGTGCATGGGGTGGGTGAGCCCTGTGCCATCCCTCCTTGTGCCTCCATGTCACAGAGGTGCTGGGGTGGCGGGAAAAGACACCCTGGGCCTGGGAAGCAGGGTGTGTGTGGAGCGGCGGGCAGGAGCCACTGTTTGTGGTGCTTCGGCTGCAGGTGCAGGAGCGCCTGGCTCCCAGCCGGCTGTCCAGGCTCCTGTCTCTGTTACCCAGTCTCCCTCTCCGCCACAGCCCACATCCCTCCCAGCCTCTGTATCTCTGTGTCTGTCCCTGTTTGCTCTGTGGGTTTCCCTTCCTCTGTCCACCCTCTCACAAGCCGTCTTCCCTCCGCCGCTAAGACGCGTGCAGGGCTCTGCGTTTTCCTGGTGGTGTGTGGAAAAGTGAGTACCACTAGGCGAGTCAGGGCTGTGGGGACCTCTCTGCCCTTGGCCTGTGACAGGCACCCGGAGGAAAGGGGAGAGTGTGGGAGTCACACGGGGTGGGGGGCAGGCCCAGTGCTCTCTTCCAGGGGAGGGTGCTGCTCCAGGAGGGCCTCGGGCAGCCATGGGCAGTTCGGTTCTCTGTGCTTGTGTCCCTCCACCAGCCCCCAAGACCCCAGTCTGGCTCCAGGCTAGGGATCCAGTCTTGGCTTCCCCACTGAGTCCAAACCTTAGTGAGTGCATTGTCCCCACCATTCCACCCCTTCTCCGTGTACCCTGCACCCCTCCAAGAGGGCTACCTCCCTCCAAGGGGCATCTGCAGATGGGATTCTTTTGGCAGGAGGTACCATGGCCCCCGCCCGGGCAGCTGACTCCTCCTTCTGGGGTCTGGCGCTGCTCAGGTGCAGCTGAGGCCGTAGTGCAGCAAGAGAAGGCATCTGTTCTGGGGACAGGCCGCCTGCCCCTCCCAGGGCCTTCCCTCCCCTCTGTGACCCCAGCGAGCTGGCTGAATCATTAGTTATCCTCAAGTGCCCCGTGTCTCCCAATTTGGGGCTGTAATTGAGAGCCAGCCACCCGTGCTCAGCGTACCCCATTTGTAGGCAAAATGAGGATCAGAGCTGAGGGGGAGCCAGCTGTGAGGGGCCCTGCCCAGCGCACCTGGGCCAGCCAATGACCAATGTCATGTTTCGTTCTTTTAGATCTAATGCTGGACGATGTAATTGCTTCCGGCAGCTCAGCCAGCGCTGCGTCAGGTACTGCGTCTGGGGCGTGGGTTCATGCGTGTGGGGAAGTGCTCTTTGCCCCTCTCCATGGCTCCTTGGTTCTGTCCTCTGGGGTGCAAAGCTAAAGGTCCCTGGGGCCCCCAAGAGGGCAGGGGCTGAAGCACTGGGCTTTCCGTCATGGTGCAGACCTATGCTAAGTGGGGAGCCTCTGCTGAAGGCTCCCTCCCGGCAGAGCCCCTGGCCTGCTGCTGTCTCCTCCCTGCCCCCCTTCCCTGCTCCGCAAATGTCTCCATCTCCTCTTGTCTGAAGGGGAGACTTTGATCGGAGGGAGCAGGATGAGAGGAGCAGAGAGAAGGATTTGTCTTAAAAATGTAATGAAGAATAATTGAACCGGCTCATTAATAGTCAAGTAACCGTGGTGGCCAAGTCATTGCTACAAACAGGAGGAATTGGGAACCGAAGGCCTGAGTTGGCCACACACTTCTTCCAAAAACCCGAAATGCTTGGGAGTGAGTCAAGCCCTTATCTCCAAGAGCTGTGTCCCTGGGAAGGCCTCCCAGTGCCACCTGCCCTCCCCTGGCTCCCCCGGGCCCCCCACACAGGTCCCCAGCGGAGGCTTGGAGGATCAGAGTCTGTGACGGGGCTGTGGGGCCTTGTCACACCCCCTGGTGTCTCCACTGGTGGCTCCCAAGCTATCTGTCCTCCAGATCCGCCTTAGCACCTCCTCCTGCAGACCCCACAATTTGAAAGATTGCCTCTGAAGTTAACAGCACTTCAATAAGGACTCTGTTTCAATGATTTTACTAATCAAAGGCGCATCTAATTGCTAATCAGAGTTTCTGAGCTGCAGAAGGTTACACATTGAAAGACGGCAAAAAAAGACCATTTTGCCTTTAAATTAGCCTGTGGAGTCTTAACACAGGCAAATGTCTGGTTCTTCTAAGCTTTTAGAAATACTGCAAAGAACCAAAGGACCCTCGAATGGCTGTCTCTTGAGGCTGCCCAGGGCTTGGACTGCGATGGGAACGATTTGCTGTCTCACTCTCTACTCTTTCCATTGTCCCAGCTGGCCAGGCACCGCTCTGATGGTGTTGGGCCACCGATCTTAGGGGGCACAGGGGCCTGTTCAAGGGGGGCCTCTGAGCCTTCATCCAGTCAGTCATTCCTGTTGCCCTGGGCAGATCCACACCTCCTGTCCCCAGGGTGCTGAGCTATGTATTCGGCATTGAGAGACCATTTCTCTGGGGGCTCAGGAGGCTCTGGTTGGTTTGTGTCTGGGTTGTGGGGGTCCCCACGTCTCTGTGTCAGGCTGTTCTGTGAACCCTTGAAGTGTCAGGGGGTGAGGGGTAGAGGGGAGGAAGTGATCTTCAGCTTTTCCCTTATGAGTCACTGGGGCTGTGGGCTAAAGTGTGCTCACCCTTATGCTCACCTCAAAACACCACCCTAGGCCCAGGCTGGCCCACGAAGGTCTCCGTCATACTGGTTGTCCCTTGAATCAACACGTGCAGGCTCACGGCCCCCAAGATATGACACACTGACTGCACAAATACTGTGTATTTTCAACCCGCACTCGGATTTTGAGTCTTCTGCCCTGATGCTGTTGGACATGTGTTAGTTTTCCTGGCTGTTAGCAAGGACCCAGGGATCTTGAACAGGGGTAAAGAACATCCCATAACCCTCTTCCCAGGATCTGGGTTTCCCAGGAGGGTCTAACTCAGAGCTCTCCAGACTGCAGTATACATCAGAATGGCCAGAGAGCTTACATGTGGATTCCTAGGCCCCAGCCAAGTGCTCCTAGTGGTCTGCATTTCCAATCAGTTCTCGGGGAGACAGGGGACAAAGTCAACGTCCCAGCCTGGGGCTGCTGGGAATCAAACCTGGGCACCACAGCATCCTGGGCCACCAGACCCAGGGCAAGGCAGAAGGGAAGAGTCTGATTTCCCGGGGAACAGGCCTGACCAGACACTTGGGGCTGTTGGGGGACCAGGCCAGCCTGGTCCTCCTTAGCCACCTGTGGCAGCCACCTCCACTCACCCTCTATCCTTCCCCAGGGTAGGACCCACAGCAGCCAAAGGCAAGGCCTCTGCTGGGGGACCCATGTCCTGGGGAGTGACCCTGCCTTCCATTCTCTCCCTGTCACTGTCCTTTGCCAACCCCTGCCCTGGCTGTGCCTTGGGCTCCCAATGACCCCCTACTAACTCACTGCGCCTGTTGCTGTCACTCACAGCTCCCTCTCGCCCCGCCTGGCTAGGGGCCTGGTGTCCTTCTGCCCTCTGTCTGACTCTGGTGTCTTCCTCGCCTAAGGCATCTTGTACTGGTGGGAGGCAGAGAGATGTGGCCATGATTTTGGGCTGGAAGCTCAGGTCCTGCTGGCTTTGCTGGGTTACAGCACAGGGGCTGCTGGGAAGCGGCCCATGAGACTGGCCTGGTGCTCCTTGGACCTGTGCTGTAGTGGAGGGGCACCATCAGCCCAGCACCTGCAGGCCTGGGCTAGGGCTGCTGGAAGGGAGGGCCACAAGCAAATGTCCTGCCTACCTCCCTCCTGGCCTGGTGGAGGGGGCCCCTGGCTGGGTCCAAGCCCACCCAGCTCTCAGAGCAAGGCTGGAAGGCAGAGCCGTGGTGGTGGCAGCTCTTTTTGATCTGGGGCTGCCTGTACAGTCAGGCTGGGGTCACAGGGGAGAGGAGGGCCTCTCTCTTCCATCCTCCTCTCAGCATTGTCGCAGCTAATAATGGGGCTAATGAGGAGCTGCTTTTTCTAACCTAATTGTATTTAAACATTTTAGTTAATTCTCCATTCATATTTTAGCATAATGGGATCGGGTGCTCTCGGCATTTATGGAGATTAATGCAGAGAAAGAGTTCCGGCTGCTAAGGCAACGCAGGGTGACTAGCGCCCTCTGGTTCTCGTGGTACTGCAGGAAGGAAGGAAAAAGCCCCTCAGCCCGACCACTCTCCACAATCGGGTGTAGATGACCAGTGGCCTCATGCTGCCCTGCTCTCTGGGCCTCTCCACCCTCACATTCCGGGGGGTCAGGAGGGCTACCTGCGCCTACACAGCCACCCTTGGCTGGCCCATCTCTGAACGTGAAAGAATGGCCTCGTGTACCCCGAAGGCACACTCGACCTGATTGGGGTCCCTGTGCCCCTGGTTATCCACAGCTCAAGGCCGATGTGGAGAAGGGCCAGGAAGGCTTGGAGCAGAGCAGCTGCAAGGCTGACCATGCTGCTCCTGGGCACTCTTCTTCCTTCAGCCTTTGGTGGGGGCCCGCCCAAGGCTGCTCCCTGCCTCAGTTTATCTCTCTGCTGAGTGGTCCTCTGCATGGGAAAGGATGGTTATATCTGAGCTGACCTGGTCCCAAAGCTTCCTGCTACCCCTGAGCCAGCCAGCCTCCGGCCCAGGCCTCGGAGGCTGCAGCCCTTACTGGCTGGCTTCCACCCGAGACGGGAAGGGCTGTCTGGGACCTGAGGCTGCCCCATGCCTCCCTGTGGGGAGTCTCGGCCTTCTTTGTGCCTGCCCGGGAGACCAATCCATGTACACACTCCGGATGCCATGTGCCCCTGCTTGGCCTGGCCCTTCCTCGGCACCTGGAGGAGGGGGCCCCGACAATCTCAGCTCCCAGTGCAGGCTCACCTCCTGGCACTGATTTTTATAGCTAAGCGGTTGGCTAATTACAAGAGCAATGCTGTGCCTGTGACAGATCTCAGACAGTGCTTCCAGCCCAGCCTGCGCTCCCATGCCATCCCGACACCCAGGGGCAGGCTGGGCACAGCCTCGTTAGAAGCTGGGTGAGTCTGTCAGGGGTCCTCCCAGCTTGTATCTGGGACGGAGCAGAACCTTGCACCCTCCCCGCGGCCCTCCTCGGCATAAGGCTGCCGGAGACCCAGGCCCTCCCCAGAGGCACCGCGGTGGCTCAGTGCAGCCAGGCAAGAAGATGGCAATTTCCAATCTCTGGCTCTATCTGCAAATCCCAGCTCCGGGTAATCTCCTCTGCTCCCCCAGGGGCTGAGCTAGGTGAAGGCGTTGACAGAGCTCCCTCTGAGCCCCGTAAGGTGGGGTCTGTTTCATCTTACCGATCTGGCCTCCCTTCGAAACTCTGAGCCTCTGAGCCGAGGTGTTGGGAGGGGCTGGTGATTTCGGAGGCTGCCTAGGGGAGGGGGCTCACCTGGTGTCTAATAGAGGTGGGGAGCTCTGCATGTCCTGCCCCCTGACTGCAGCCAGTAGAACAGACGCTTGGAAGGGGCCCTGCCAAGAGAGCTGCCCCGCAAGGGGAGGGAGAGGACACTGATGATGCGGAATGTTTAGCTGTGGCGTAGAGGCTGGCGGGGGGAGGGGCGCGGGGGGCAGAGGCCAACACCACCCCGCTGTCTTCCCTTCCCCTCCCAGAAGCCCAGTGCAAGCCCTACTACTCTGACTACTCCCGCTTCCGGCTCCTTGTCCACCACATGTGCACCAGCCACTACCTGGACCTCTTCATCACGGGTGTCATTGGGCTGAATGTGGTCACCATGGCCATGGAACATTACCAGCAGCCCCAGGTAAGAGTGAGTGACCAGTCACCAGCCCCTGACATCCAGCCTGGGGCCCCATAACCTGAGCCCAGGCATTTCTGTGCTGGGCCAGTGCTGACCACATAGCATGGGTTCCTTATGGATGTTATCTCCTTGTTTCATAAGCAAGGATGCTGAGGCTCAAAGACATTGGTTGGTTTGACTAAGGTCACCCTGCTGGGAAATGAGGACCTGGTGTCATTACCAGCAAATTTTTACTGAGCATCCAATATGTGGTGGCCTCTGGATTATTGAGCATAGAGCCGACTGGTGCCTGCCCTCTAAACTTAGAGTCTAGGGAATGGCTAGCTCCGAATCTCACCTGTGATCTTTTTTTTTTGGTACTGGGGATCGAACTCGGGTCCTTGTGCTTGTGAGGTCACCTGTGATCTTGCCACTTCTCCAGTCATCCCTGGCAGGGCTCAGTTTCCCCATCTGTACAATAGGGAGGTGGAATTGGCAATGGACAGAGCCCCTTGCAACCCTATCATGCTGGGCCTTCCAGTACTTTCTTGTGTGGTCTTGCTGTCTCTCAAGGAGAGAGATCCTTTAGCATGGGCTTGAATTGTTCCCATGAATGAGGCCCCTACTGTCTCGGGGTGGGAGGGTGCCTTTAGATCCATCCTGTCCCCACACCCGGGAGGTATGGTGGTGAAGGAGCTGAGGCAGGCGTCGGCCCTGGCCTGTGGAGACCCTACCTCTTGCCCTCATCCCTGCCAGATCCTGGACGAGGCTCTGAAGATCTGCAACTACATCTTCACCGTCATCTTCGTCTTGGAGTCAGTTTTCAAACTGGTGGCCTTTGGCTTCCGCAGGTTCTTCCAGGACAGGTAACAGAGAGGAGGGGAGGAGGGAGGAAGGGAGGGTGGGCTGCGACTCCTGGCAAGGACCCAGAAGGACTTAGTGCCTGAAGACCCTTAACTCCTGGGATCTAGCCCCCAACCTAGGGCTGACATTGGTGATTTGGGGAGCATCCAGGGCCTGGGAGCTGGGAAGGGATGGAAAGAATTTGACAAGACAGGACTTAGAGGCCATTGGCAGCTAGAAATCTATGTGGCTTAGCCTAGGGTGTAAGGGCACAGAGCCTGGAGCCACACTGCCTGGACTGGATTCAAATCCTAGTTCTTCCACCCTTTCGTAGCTGGTGACTTTGGATAAGCAGCTTAACTTCTCTGTGCTTCACTTTCCTCATCTATCACATGAGAAATAATAGTAGTATCTACGACACAGCTGTGTGATTCTGAACTCCTACTTGTAAAGTCCTTAAAACAGTGCTTGGCACAGAATAGGCACCATGTAAGTGCCAAATAAAAGGAGCAGATGAATGACAGTGAAAAGCAGGACCCTGGAGCTAAGGTCTAGTTCTACCTACCCGTGCCATTAGCTGGCTGTATGGCCTTTGATAAGCCACGTCCCTTCTCTGCAGGATGGGAGGCTGCACCAGCTGACCTCTGCCCTCCTTCCCAGCCGGGTCTTTCTGCACCACAACTGCCCCTCCTCCACCACCCCTCCCCCCACTCAGGGAGCTGTGTCCCGGGCTTTCCAGGTGGAATCAGCTGGATCTGGCCATCGTGCTGCTGTCCATCATGGGCATCACGCTGGAGGAGATTGAGGTCAACGCCTCACTGCCCATCAACCCCACCATCATCCGCATCATGAGGGTGCTGCGCATCGCCCGAGGTGGGTCCTGGCTCCCTACCCACTTCCTGCCTTCCCAGGCTCACCAGCCCAGAGCACACAGCAAGCTCCAAAGGGGAAGGTCCGGGGCTGGTGCGGGTACAGACTGCCTGGCATCCTGGGCCTCCCACCAGCCCCAGCTCAGTGCCGCCTGGCTCCACCCCTTGGGTGACCAAGGCCTCAGAGGGGTAGCTCATGACCTTGTCCTGTTCTGCAGTGCTGAAGCTGTTGAAGATGGCCGTGGGCATGCGGGCGCTGCTTGACACGGTGATGCAGGCCCTGCCCCAGGTAGCTGGAAGGTGCCGTGGGCTGGGGTCCTCTTGGCGAGGGGGCGGCACCCTGGACAGGGACCGGGGGCTCCAGGAAGCCGGGGACCAGAAGATCCAGTGGCACCGTTTCCGTTTCTTTCCCTCTTTTCCAGGTGGGGAACCTGGGACTCCTCTTCATGCTGTTGTTTTTCATCTTTGCAGCTCTGGGCGTGGAGCTCTTTGGAGATCTGGGTGAGTTGGGGCTGGGAAGGACAGAGAGGCTGGGGCTGGAGGCCGTGGGGCTCCTGGACCCACCAAAGCCTTGCTTCTCCCTCTCTCCTCCCCCAGAGTGTGACGAGACACACCCCTGCGAGGGCCTAGGCCGGCATGCCACCTTCCGGAACTTTGGCATGGCTTTTCTGACCCTCTTCCGCGTCTCCACAGGCGACAACTGGAATGGCATCATGAAGGTGAGGCACTGCTCGATTCCTGGCCCGCCCGGGGCTGGCTCAGGCAGCAAGGAGGCAGCTCCACTTTCTCAGCCAGGATTCTTGGGAAGATGAATTGGCCACGGATGAAAGCATGTGGCCTTCTGTCCCCTCCCCCAGGACATGCCCTGACTCACGCTTCCCCAGGCCACAGCTGATACTCTTCTGTCCCCAGGACACCATAGTTCCCTCCTCCCTTTTTCTTTTTCCTCCCTCAATGCGCTGTGACACCAATGGCCTGGTTTTCCATGACAGTTCCATCCACCATCCTCCTGACCTCCTACCTCTGTCCTGCCTCCCCCAGGACACCCTCCGGGACTGTGACCAGGAGTCCACCTGCTACAACACTGTCATCTCGCCCATCTACTTCGTGTCCTTCGTGCTCACGGCCCAGTTTGTGCTGGTCAACGTGGTGATCGCTGTGCTCATGAAGCACCTGGAAGAGAGCAACAAGGAAGCCAAGGAAGAGGCTGAGCTGGAGGCGGAGCTGGAGCTGGAGATGAAGACCCTCAGCCCGCAGGCCCATTCGCCACTCGGGAGCCCCTTCCTCTGGCCTGGGGTCCAGGGCCCCGACAGCCCTGACAGCCCCAAGTCCAGGGCCCCACATGAGGCGGCCCACTCCCTTGAGCACCCCACGGTGAGCCTGCAGAACCCTGCAACAGCTGGCAGCGTGGGGTGGGTGGCGGGCAGCTCAGCGGGTGGTGGACAGGGAGCCCAGTGGAACCTGGGGCTCCTCCTAGATTCTCTGGGTGCTGAGGGACCAGCAGCAGAGATGGCAGGGCCACTCTCAGCAGCTGTGGCGGCCCATCTGTCCCCTGCTCCTTCAGCCTGGTGTGGCCTCCCTTTCTGGCTCTTAAGTTCAAGGCTAAGTTTTCTGTTTCCTTCCTGTTTCTTTCTTACCCTTGCCAAACCTCTTTCCCACCCACCTTTAACCTGCCTGGTTCCCTTCATCTCGCCATCCTTTTACTAATCCCCGGTTCCCCTCCCTCTCTCCTGCTCGCCTTCCCTTCCCACGTCCCCGGCCCGCCCACACTGCCCCTCTTCCCCGCCCCTTCTCTTTCTTGCCTCTCTGTGACTGCGTGTACACGTGTGCACGCGTGTGTGTCCTGTGGGTCTCACCACCTCCTCCTCCCTCCGCCCTCGTCAAACCCGGCCATGACAATTCCCTTCACTGCCCCTCTGCTCCTCGCTCCCTCGACTCCCCTTATGGGCTGGTCCTCCCAGGACAGACAGCTGTTTGACACCATCTCCCTGCTGATCCAGGGCTCCCTGGACGGGGAGCTGAAGCTGATGGACGAGCTGGCAGGCCCAGGGGGCCAGCCTTCTGCCTTCCCTTCCGCCCCCGGCCCGGGCGGCTCCGACCCACAGGTTACTGTGCCGTGTGCTGTGCCCCCCCCGACCGTGCCAAGCTGTGCCATGCTGTGCTGTGCTTTTGGGGAGGCTGGGAGTGTTGAGGAAGAGCAGCCACAAGGCCTAGGTGGAGGTTGGTGGGAGGCAGCTGGGGGGGCATCTAGGCTGCTCTGGAACGGGAATGGGAGGTGGGGGACTGAAGGGAGGAGGGAGTTTAACAAGGGGTGGGAGGGACTTTGTAAGAATCTGGAAGGGAAGAGGGGGAGGGCAGTGAGACTTCAGGGTTTCCAGGGACAGCAGGTGACCAGCGAACCGCACTGGGGCATGTCTTGACCTACAGTCTACGTTTCTCTTGTGTCCGGCACCCACCCCCCGGTCCTCTGGTGGCTTTTTAAGCCACTGGGCATAATGAGCACTGTCCGTAGCCAGCGACTTGGGTCCTGGGGGAACTGTCGTGGATTCTGGGACCATGGCCTGAAACAAGACTTGGCTCCCCACTACCCAGCCCGGCCCCTTCCCACAGCGCCCACTGCAGCCGCATCCAGAGCTTCTGCTTTCTGGGTGCCTCCTCTCTTCCCCTTGGCCTAGGGCCTCTGTCTCTCCCCGGAGTCGGGGGCTGCAGACCTGGAGCAGGCAGGACCTGCCAGGTATCATGTGGAGATGGAGGAGCTCGGTTTCTGAAGGCTCAGCAGGCGGGTGCCTTGGGAGCCTTTAGCCCGATCCAGAGACACAGGCAGTGACTGGCACGTGTGAGAGCCCGTGCCTTGGCTGGATGCAGGCTTAGGCCTGGCAGTGACCTAGCAGCATCAGTGGGAAGGCGAGTCCCTTCCCTGCACCTCCCAGGTTCTCAGGAAGGGTGACAGGAGAGGAGAGGGGTGATGGGAAGGGGATCAGGACAGCTGCCAGCCCGTTCCCGCCTCCCCCAGAGTCCTGGAGACCCTGCGACCCCCTGCAGACCACAGGTGAGCCAGCCAGATGGTGTGGCGGCCCTGGCTGCCCACTGGAGGCTGGCGAGGACAGCACCTCCCAGGGCCCAAGCTGGAGAGAGCGGGCGGGCTGCAGGCTGCAGGCAGGCGGAGGATCTGGGGGCAGGCCAAGTCCTGCCACGCTTTTGGAAGGGGAGAGAATAGGCAGAAAACAGCCGCCAGCGCCCCCCCACGCCGCTCTGTCTGCGCTGAGAGGAGAGAAAACAGCTTCGCTGGCCTTTCTTCTTTTTCTTCTTCTTCTTCTTCTTCTTTTTTTTTTGGCTGGGTATCATCTTTACGAGCGAGCGTCAAAGCCCTGGCTCCTCTGCTCCCCCTGGGTAGTGGTCGTGTGGGAGGGGCCTGCTCAGGTGCCTGGGGTATCTTTAGAACGAGTCTCTGTGTCTCTCCGCTTTGTCGCTGTTTGCTCTTTGGTGCCTGCTGCAGACTTTCAGATCAGAGCAGGGGGCTGAAGTGGGCGAGGGGAGGCGCGGGGTCTGATTATTTGGGAAAGGGGTGGGGTGCGGGCAGGGATGCCTCCCCCACCCCTGCTTTGCGGAAAGGGCAATTGCACCGTCCTGGTTTCTCATGCCTGGTCATCTCTCTCCTGTCTAGATCCCTCTAGCTGAGATGGAGGCTCTGTCTCTGACGTCAGAGATTGTGTCTGAACCGTCCTGCTCTCTAGCTCTGACGGATGACTCTTTGCCTGATGACCCTCACACACTCTTACTTAGTGCCCTGGAGAGCAGTGTACATGCACATGCCCCTCATGCCCCCCTGGCCGGCTGGGCCGGGCTGGCTGCAAGGCTCCAGGTCCTCGCTCCCCCTGTCATCAGCCCCTGCCCAGAGGCACCCACCTCAGGCTGTCAGTGATCCAGCCTTCGCTGGCATGAGCCTTTCGGGTCTCCCATGGGGGACCAAGACATTAGAGAAGATGAAATGGAAGCCTTGCCCAGAGGGGCAGCCACCGTAAAAGGGTCACTCCAGGAGTGACCCACCCCAAAACAGAAGTGGCCTCAGAGCCAGCCTCTGTGTTTGGAGCCCTGTGCAGGCCAGCCCTCCCCTCTCTCACCCCTCCTTCCTCCTGTCCCCCACATGAGACGTCACCACTGCCAAGTGGTGAGAACCACACCTGCTACCGCCACCATGCCCACCTTCACCTGAGGGCTCTTCCTGTCTCCTTTGTCACTGTCCCTGTGTGTCCTTGTGTCCCTGTCTCCTTCTGACCGTGAGCAGCCCCCTCCCCCCGGCCTGATGTCAGAGCAGGGCCCAGGTGGGGTGGGGCCTTGACCACAGGCTGAGGGTCCTGAGCAGGGTCGGGGGCTGGCTGAATGGGGTCTGGGACTGAGAAGGAAGCAGAGGACCCAGATTGTCCTCCGGCATGGCCGTCCCTGGCCTGCTGGGGCTGAATGAGCCACTGGGCCCTTATGGGGACCAGTCCATGAGAACTAGGAATGAACAGTTCAAGAGAAGGGGTTGCGGGGGGTGGAGTGCAAACCTGGGCTCCCTCCAGCAGGCTCATTACCCCCTTTCTTTGAAGCAAATGCCCCAAACCCATTTCCAGCCCTTGTGTCCACAGGGGGAGGAACAGAGTCCGTAGTGCCCAGGCCTGGCCACCCACCCTACCCTCTAGAGCCCCTGTGTGGCTCCAGTGGGGGCGGGGAGTGCTCATCTGTCACTCACCTGCATGAACCCAGCTCACCTGGTCCCCTGTGGATGGTGGGCTCCCTTGAGAATTTCTGGGGGGGCCTTTAGAAAGTGCAGGGGGACCATGCCTAGGGCTGGGGAGTAGGGGCTGCTCTCCCTTCTCAGATGCCTCCTTACTCCCACCCTGACCCCACTGGGAGGCTCAGAGGCGATGCCAGGGCTGTGGGTTGGGGGCGGGGCCTCCCCCTTCCGCCCGCTGCAGGAGGGCTCATCATCGTGTGTCTGCCTCCTCCTCATTGCATGCCCACCACCACCTTGTCCTGGGGGCGGGGCCTGGGCCCGGGAGGGCAGGGGCTACTTTCCCTCATCCAGCTCTGCCTCCCTTACCAACCCAGCACCTCCCTGCTCACCCAGCCCTGTTCCTTCTGCAGATGGAACCCCACCCTGAGGAGGCTCCCAGCGCGCTGGGACCAAACTTGCTGACTGTGAGGAAGTCCGGGGTCAGCCGGACACACTCTCTGCCCAATGACAGCTACATGTGCCGGAATGGGAGCACGGGCGAGGGGTCCCTGGGACACAGGAGCTGGGGGCTCCCCAAAGCCCAGTCAGGTACCAGGGCAGCGGCAGGGCAGCTCACACAAGGGGGACCTCAACCTTGCCTGAGTCCAGCCCTGACCTAGGGCAGCCATCCAGGCCTCAGGAAAGATCTCTTCTACCTCTGGAGAGCCCTTAGCCCCTGTCCCAAGGAGCCCGAAGCCTGAGTGGGGTGGCTTTTCATCCGGGGAGGTGAGGGCAGGGCCCTGATGCGGTAGGAAGGAGGGGCTCAAGTGTCCTCTCTCCGCCTCTCCCTTCTGTCCCCTCCCCAGGCTCCATCCTGTCCGTTCACTCCCAGCCTGCAGACACCAGCTACAACCCACAGCTTCCCAAAGATCCACCCCACATGCTCCCGCCCCACAGTGCCCCCACCTGGAGCACCATCCCGAAGCTGCCTCCCCCGGGCCGCTCCCCTTTGGCTCAGAGGCCCCTCAGACGCCAGGTGAGCCGCAGGGGAGGGCTGGACTGTTGGCCAGTGACCACCCTGGGTGACACTTTCATTCTCCCCCAAACACTGTGCTGCTGTGATGAGCTAGACCCAATTCTAGGGACCAGAGACAAGCAAAAGGGGCCCGTGTGCTCCTGGAGTTTGACCCCCTCCCCTGGTTCCATTGAGGAGGCCAGAGGGGGGCTGTGATGGCCCAGGGCCACACACATCCAGGTAGGGTAGGATGAGGGCTTAGGGATCCCTTCCCAGAGCTGCTGCTCTGTTCTTCACGCTTTGAACTGGGCAGGTCCTAAGTGTCTCCACTTTGGCCCAAACCCGGGCCACTGTCCAGAGCCCACATTGCAGAGGGACAGAGGACAGAGACTCATGGAGCAGGTCAGGCTGGTCTGCTGCACCTGTGGTCATGGCCAGCACCAGATCAGCTGAGTCTGTGCACTTGGGGAGCAGGCACAGCGCCCGGCCATTCCCCACATCCTCACTGAGCAGCCTGCAAGGCCAGGCTTGGGGACATAGCTGCAGCCCTCAGAGCTCACACCCTGAGAGTAGAGACACACGTGCCATCAGATTATCACAGCAGCGCAGTGCTCACACAGTAGTCCGTGCTCACGAGGGGGGTGCAGCGAGGAGCAGAGAAGAGGAAGGGGTGGTTGTACGTGGGGTGGAGATTGCCAGGTGCCACGTCCCAGAGAACCTGAGGCATGGCGGACCTAGAGATCAGGTGCACATGCCTCATCTCCCAAGAACAGCAGCTTGGGGGTCTCCTGCAGCTGCATGGGGTGGGGTATCCAGCCTAAGGAGAGGGAGACTTCGTGTTGGAGAGGAGCCCCTGCTCTAAGCTCGCCGTCCGCCCCATACAGGCAGCAGTACGGACAGATTCCTTAGACGTGCAGGGCCTGGGCAGCCAGGAAGACCTGCTGTCCGAGGTGAGCCGGCCCTCCCCGCCTCTGGCCCGCTCCTCGTCCTTCTGGGGCCGCTCAAGTGTGCAGGCGCAGCAGCACTTCCGCAGCCTGAGCAAGGTGTCCAAACACATCCCACCACCAGCCCCTTGCCTGGGTCCAGAACCCCACTGGAGCAAGGGCCCTCCAGAGACCAGAAGCAGCCTAGAGCTGGACACGGAACTGAGCTGGGTTTCAGGAGACCTCCTGGCCACCGATGGCCAGGAGGAGCCCGCTTCCCCGCGTGACCTGAAGAAGTGCTACAGCGTGGAGGCCCAGAGCTGCCGGCGCCGGCCAGCGTCCTGGCTGGATGAGCAGAGGAGACACTCTATCGCAGTCAGCTCCCTGGACAGCGGCTCCCAGCCCCGCCTGGGACCAGACCCCTCCAGCCTCGGGGGCCAGCCTCTTGGGGGGCCTGGGAGCCGCCCCAAGAAAAAACTCAGCCCGCCCAGTATCTCCATAGACCCCCCAGAGAGTCAAGGCCCTCGGCCCCCACCCAGCCCAGGAGTCTGCCTCCGGAGGAGGGCGCCGTCCAGCGACTCCAAGGATCCCTCAGCCTCTGGTCCTCCCGACAGCATGGCTGCCTCACCTTCCCCAAAGAAAGACGTGCTGAGTCTCTCTGGTTTGTCCTCCGACCCGGCCGACTTGGACCCCTGAGTTCCGCCCACTGTCCCGCTCACCTTCTCCACTGGGTGCAATTCCTAGCCCTCCTCCTGGGCCGTGCGTATTCCTGAAAAAGTCCCACGTAGACACCAAGGAGGCAGCCCTCCCTGCCTCCGCCGCCCTAGACACCTGAAGGTGGGCCCTCCGGAGGATCCAAAGCCGCAGCCCCGGGGACTCGGGCTCCAGGCAGAGAGAGACAGAGACAGAGAACGGCCCAGTAGCGGCCGAGTTTCCAACACCAGAAGCTGTTGGGAGAAAGCAATACGTTTGTGCAGAATCTCTATGTATATTCTATTTTATTAAATTAATTGAATCTAGTATATGCGGGATGTACGACATTTTGTGACTGAAGACACTTGTTCCCTTCCACTTGTATGTGTCTCAGAATATTTTTGAGGCGAAGGCGTCTGTCTGTTGGCTATTTTAACCTAAAACAACCAGTCTAGTTATATCCCCTCTTCTTGCAAAAAAGCACAAGCTGGGACCGAGAGTGCATTGCAGCCCAACAGTGACCCACCTTCGGCGCAGAGCAAGAACCATTTTGGAAACTGTAATGTAATTTATTTTCTCTCCTTTAACCTCGTCATCGTTTTCTGTAGGGGGTAAAAAAAAAAAAACAGAAAAAGAAAAACATTTTACAAATGAAATGGAGCCTTTTTATATATACATACATACATATCTATATATCTATATAAAATAAAGTAATTTTCCAAAATAAAAAGTTAATCACGGTCCAGAATAAAAAAGCAAAGGGGACGGAGAGTTAGGTACGTCCAGATGGTCACAGCAAGGCCTGGAGGTGTAGAGTGGGTGGTGGGGTGGGAAGGTCCAGGGTGTGCGTGGGTGCGTGCGTGTGTGTGTGTGTGTGTGTGTGTGTGTGTGTGTGTGTGTTACAAAACCAAATGCCTGTCCCTGGGGGGCTACAGCCTCGCTTCATCCCCCTCCACCACCATGAGGGAAAGCACCCCCAGCCTGGTGAGGCTGGGGATCAGAGGCTCCCGCTTCTATCAAAGCTGTATCACATTGCCTTAGCCAGGCAGCCCAGTGAATGTAATTCCAGATCAACTCTTATTTCTGCTGACAGCGATCAGCCGTGCGTTGAAAGCTGGAAATTGGCATAATGAAGCTGTTTTGGTTAATGGGGCGGTTGAGGCGGGAGACGGCCTCAGCTGCTGGGATCTGAAGCTGTTGGGGGGGTGTGCGTCTGGGTTTTCCTTCCCCCAGGTTTTGGGCTAGATTTTGGCCACATTCCTCCTGGCAGGGTGGGTGACAGCAGGGGCCTGGGCTTCCACCTCTGGCCTTAGGTCTCACTGCCTGCAGACAGTGAGATGAAGCTGTGTAAACAGTGGGCTACTGTCTCCCAGGGATGCAGGGAGCAGGCCATGTCCAGGGGGAGCCCCTCGGTGGACCCTGCCAAGGTCGCTGTGGCCCAGCTGTGGAGTGGGGAGCTGGCCTCCCCCGGGTGATGAATGAATGTCAGGGTGTTTACACGTCAGCTGCTGCCTGCCCTGTGGGAACGGGCAGAGGAGGGAGGGGCCACCTCGGGTGGGAGGGGCTTCAAGGGCAGGGGTGAGTGTGTGGCCCAGAGCCACCTTTCTGATGCCACCATGGACACTGAAACCCTTGTTTCAAGAGTGACCACAGGCTCAGCCAGCTTGCTGCCTGGCAGAAACCCCCAACTCTGCCCACCCCCAACCCCTTGAACATGCCTGCTCCTCCCTGGGGCCTTCAAACCCCAGGCTGGGTTGGATTCTGGAAACCTCAACTCCATGGGTAGCTGGGGGCCCAGATGCCAGGCTGCCAGGCAGCTAGACCCGGAGGGAGGCATCTGTTGTCCAGTGTTTCCTATGCCAAGGAGAGCTTTGCTTGTTGCCCTTTGCATGGCAACAATACGGGCCCTTGAACAAAACACCTGGTTTGATCTTCCCAGGGTGTGCAGTAATTTGAAGCCAGTCCCTCTGACCGCTCAGGTGGGGACAGGAGGTGTTTATGTGCTGCCTCTTTTCTTTTTTCCTTTCTTTCTTTCTTTTTTTTTTTTTTCTAAGCAAAGCTGTATGAAATTCCTAGAGTTTTGCCACCTGGATCTGCAGATTAAGCTTTTATATCTTTATAGAATTCTGTAGCTGTCTATTCTCTGAGGGTGAGGGATTTGGGGAGGGACTCTGCGATCTTTTATTTTCCCAGTCCTTAGAAGATTCTGGGTCAAAACGAAGCAGAACTGGACTGCTGCCCCCTCCCCTCATTTCCCATCCCTGCCTGTGTCATTTAGGGTGACTCTTAGCATGCCTTCTTCTCTCTGGGGTCCCCTTCCCCTGGTCCCCTTTTCCCAGTAGGAGCTGAGGGAGCTTGCTGGGTGCTGGCCATGTAAACCTGGTGGGAAAGAAAAGGCTTCTGCTCCCTCCTCCACCCTCACCAGAGGACCAGAGCATCTCTGGAAGGAGGCAGTGCCCGGAGGGGGCATCCAGGCCGTGATGTGGAAATATTAATAGCAGAGTCAGCGTGGCTCTTTGGGCTACTTAGAGAACTATGACCTCCCCAGCAATGCAGTCTTTATCAGTGATGGACACTGCTGGGTCTCAGGGAAAGGTTTGAACAGTAGTAATCATAATGCTAATGCTACCTTCATGATGCTTGGTTATTGGAAATGGGGCGGGGGTGTCTGAAGAAGGCTGGAGTGAGTGAGGGGGAGCAGTCTCGGATGAGGACTTCCGGGCCAGGCTGGGAACTGCCTGGGGGCTTCTGGGATGGGGGGGGGCTTGGGAGCTATGAACAACTACCCTGTCGCCTTTTCCCTCAGTCCTGTCCTTGGGGTCCAGAGGAAATTGTGTCAACAGCATCAGGCCCCCATCTCAGGCTTGGTGGCTTCTGCTTCCTCCACCCCCAAGCTCCAGGAAAAGGTCTATCTGGGGGTGGGGGACTGGGAAGAGGAGTGAGCTGGTGCTAAAAACAAACCTGAGGCTCATACATGGTCTCTCACACACTGCTCACGCACCCTAGCAGGGCAAGTGCCGCTGCTAGCATTTTCCTATGCAGCAGTGGGTTCTAGAGGTTAGGGGACTTCTTGCCCAAGGTCACACAGCCAGGAGATGGCAGAGCTGAGTTTTGACCCTCGTGCTGGACAACCTACAGTCTCCACCACCCCAGCCTGTTCTTACTGTGGAGGGGACGGACGAGGCATGCTGGGAAGACAATTGTGTTTACCAAATGAAAAGGGCTGGGGCTGGGGATTTAGCTCAGTGGTTCCGCCGCCTGCCTCACAAGTGCACGTCCCAAGTTCGATCCCTGGTACCAAAAAAAAAAAATGAAAAGGGCTTACAAGAGAGTGAGGGGACCTTTCCCCAAAGGAGTCACATTCCTGTTTGTAGAAACCTACATACATTCCCAGTGTGGCACACCCAGGGGCGCAGGGGGACCCACAGCCTCCGCCTAGTGGGATACCAGCCTTTGATGACAGGGAATGGAGGAGAAGGTGTCCCTCAGCACCAGGTATCCCTCAACCTCAGGTGCATGTTGAAGCGCAGGCCAAGGTGCACTTTGCCCTTGAAGCATGACTCCTGCTCCTTCCCCCGCTGTCACTCCCTTCTCCCTTTCTGTCCTCTAACACCACCCCACCCAGTCCCCACCCACTGTTCAAACAGCTTTCACCTCCATCTTCACCCCTAGTCCCCACTCACCCCAGCCTGGTGCCCTGAGACCTCTTTCCTACTCTCCTGGGCCACCTGAGCGGCCCAACCTGCTGGGCCATGCCCATGACAGCAATGCAGTTAAGGGTGTCAGACACCAGGAGGCAGCACAAGGCACCCTTGCCTGGCGCCACCTATGCTTCTCCAGCAAAGGGACCAAGCCAGGGAGAGGATTCCTTCTCCAGGAGACAGAGATGCTCTGTCTAACCCCAAAAGGAGAAGACAGGCTTGCAGGGCCGAGTTGGGATGCCTGGACAGAACCCCAGCCGCCCAATCCCTGCCTAGGGCCCATGGACTCAGGACAGGTCCAGGATAGTGTGGTTGTGGACTGGCATCCTACTCCGGGACAGGGCAAGGAAGCTGCTCAGGAAACCCCAGGAGAGAATTCTGTGTCGCTTAGCCAGGTGTGGGACCTCATTAAAGTTCACTTTGAAAACTCCAGGACAGGGTGCAGCCGCCCAGCCCCCTCCTGCTTGCCCATCAGGTGGGGAGCAGGCTCTGGCAGAGGGGAGCCAGGGCAGCTGCACCGGCTGGGGTCTGGAGGACAGGGGACAGAAGGAGTGCTTCCAGCTTTCCAGGACCATAGTGGCTCAAAGGAGTGAGGCATGACTTTGCTTTCCTCAGCCCACCACACCTCTGTCCCGTGAGCTCCAACCTGACTGCTGCGTGACAGCCTTGTTCCTGGGTCTCCCCATCCTCGCGCTCTGCTTTCTTCTCCCTGCCTTTGTGCCCGCTTTGAGCCGTACCTTACAGCAATCTTATCTCGCCATCTCCTGTCAGGAAATCCTGGTGCTGGGCCCCTGGGGAATGCTCACTGCAGGGAGAGGCACAGCGCAAGCTCCTGCATCCAGGCTGGAGCTGCAGTAAGTGGGAAGGGAGCTTGGGGTATGGATCGCTAAGGTGGAGGGGAAGTTTGATCCATCTCTTTGCTGAAGCCTAACCCACAAGGGCTTTATTGCTCTCTCAGCATCCCTCCAGCTAGGTCCATCTTGGTTTTATTTTATTTATTTATTTATTTTTTTGGTACTGGGGATTGAACTCCAGTCCTTGCGCTTGTGCAGCAGGCAGCAAAACCTCTGAGCTAAATCCCCAGCCCTCCATCTTGGTTTTAAAAAATCAAAAGCAGAATGGCCAGTGCCCACATAGTGGCCTTGCTAATCATGACCTCTTCTTAGGAAACAGGATACTCATTTAGTCAGTCAACAAACATTTCATATAGACTAACAGTGGTTATAGTAGAAGAAGGGGGTATGCAGAGGAAGGGTCCTGGCCTAGGGTTGGGGTGGGAGTCTTGAGCAAGATCTTGAAGGGTGAGTAGTTCACTAGTGCAAGAGGGAAGTGGGGTGCAGGGAATCTTGACATGGGCTGGACAGGCTGCAGCAGCTGAGGGTGCAGAACAGGCTTGGGCACTGCGTCAGGTGAGCTCTGTGGCTGTGGGCAGCTTTAGGTGTCTCAAGGCCTCAGTTTCTTGCTCTGGGTGCAGGGGAGAACCAGACAATGAACATCCTAGATGTAAGACCGAGGGCCTTACCAAATGCTCTGAGGAGCTGACTGCAGCGAAGAACACACGGGAAGGAACACACCGGACAAGTTGGAAAGTAAAACAGACCTTTATTAGTCTGGCCAGACGGCATTCCCAAAGCAAAGTAGCTTAGAGAGGCAACTGGCTCAGAGTCCGAAGCTGTTTTTATAGGGGGTCTCAGGGGAAGTTGACAAGCAGAAATACAAAAGCGGAGGAGAGAGATAAAACAGACCTTTTACAGATTGTCCTTAAGATAACATATTCAGATATGGAGTTGGGCAAGCATGACGGAACACTACGCACACACAGACCTTCCTGGCACAACAACAAGCACATCCCTGGAACTCGATGTCTACCTGGTGATCCGTAACAGAAGCAGACAAGTTGGGGCCCTATTACAAAGATGGAGTAA